CCAAAAGATGAGGGCTGTGACTGAGAATAAGTGATGCAGATACTACTGGCAAGTGTCTCAGTGCAGGGTAAGACCGAGCTGGTTTCCAGCCCCAGTGCAGATGGTTTATGCTCAGGTTTTCCTGGAGTCCACTGTAGATGTAAATAAGGTGTGTTATGCTCGTTCCAAAGAATATTTTACTTGACCCAGCTCGTGGGTCAGACTCATTCTCCCTCCCTGCTTTGTGTGGGGCTCTGCAGGCTGAGCAGAGCACCATGTGAGCCACGCTCCACTCCAGCAGAGCAAGGAGGCAGCAGGGTTTCCACCTGGCAGAGCCAGCCCTGCCACCAGGTGCCCTCTGTTGCAGCACCTGCCATGTGCTTGTCTCTCCTCCCTCTGCAGGCTCGTTACCCCCATCTCATCAGCAGAGTGAGAGGAAGAGGAACATTCTGTTCATTTGACACTCCAAATGATGCAACTAGAAACAAGTTAATTACAATAGCCAGAAACAAAGGTAAGAATTTTTTTGTGTGTGGATGAGCTTCACATGTGAAGGTAATGCTTCACATTTTCCTTTTCATATCCTGCGTGAGTATTTCAGTTTCAGAGGACAGTAGTGAAATTAAAAAAGTTGGATTTAGGCTTTTCTGGAAATACTTGTTGTCAGAGCCCTCAGAGAAGTCTGTTGCATGTGTGTACATTTACCAGCCTCTGCAGGTCTGAAGTTACTGGAAGAGATCTGTGTATGGGATGAGATTTTGTGACATCAGGTTGAGAGTCCTTTGCAGTGACTTTAGGTGCCCATGGACATGGTTTACTTCTAGAAACTGGAAAGTTAGAAGGAAGTCAATGTCACTCAGGAAAACACAGGGAGAAGAATGATGAGTTCTATAAATACATAATTCCTATATCTAGGAATGCCTAATGATTAAATACAAGTACCTAAAATGGGCACAGATCTACAGTGGCATCCCTCTTTTCCCACAGAACTGTTAACAGCTGCAGACAGGCCCAGGTATCCAGAGAGGAACCTTGGGATCCACACCTAAAATTCTCTCTTTAACTGTGTGGGCCCTGTGTTTGCTGCTGTTTTTGCTGTTACTCCTTTCTGTTGAAAAAGCAGGCATGGTGCATCTAAACTGTGGTGAAACCAAACTTTTTAAGTGTAAAAGACACCATTTTTTGTTCTGGAAAGTAAGCCAGCAGGGAGAGAAGGCAAGTGGTTTGTTTCATGGTAAACCAAGGTTCTGCTTTGAGGCAGGGTAAGCTCAGCTTAGTAATAGGGGTTCCCATTCAAACATTTCCAAAAATCTATTTTGGGCTAAAAATTTGTGCATTTAAAACACTGCAGAGAGAGGTTTGCAGGCACTGAGACATTTTAACTTCTTGTCATTAAAAACAAATTAGTTTAAAAACCAATGCAGAGAAACCTCCTGTGTCTTGTTGTGGCACCAGGACACTTGACCAGGAGAGTATGGCAGCATCTGTAATCTCAGATGCTGTTTGATCTCTGTGCTGGATGGATTCTTTCCATTGCTGTCAGGATTAGTCCCAATACTCCAAGAGTTTTATAGAACAGCTCCAGGCACCCACAGTGTTCTTCTAAGCTGCTGTGAAGCTTGAGGCCATTCACACCACAATGTGCTGTACCATGGTGTGCCTAGCAGGATCTGGGGAGCATCTGTTGGCCTTCCACAGTGAGGGTATCCCCATTCAGAGACCTGAATTTTTCTGGTTATTTGGCAAAAATGGAAATGACTAGAGGACCTCTTGTGTTCTCATTTCAGGTGTTGTCCTGGGAGGCTGTGGAGACAGATCCATCCGTTTTCGTCCCACGCTGATCTTCAAGGACCACCACGCACACCTCTTCCTGAACATTTTCAGTGACATCTTAGCAAACTTCAAGTAAAAAGCAGTTCCCTTGCACTGAACAGCTGATTATGAAATTAGTTTGCATTAATTCATGTCTTCTCTACTTACAAGATAAGTGTAAAGTCATAAACTGAGGTTTGTGTTCTGTCTGTAATCCTGCCCAAGGCAAGCTGCTCCATGCACACGCGCCCCAGGCAGAGCAGTGGCACTGGTCACCAGCAGGTCCATGCAGCTGTCCCTCACTGTGCATCCCCAGAACCTCCCTCTTCTGGCCTGGGCCATGCTGACTGCAGAGTCCTCCTCCAGCCATGTCCCTGACTCTGCACTGTCTGAGCAGGACCTGGAACAGTCTGTGTCCACGGGTGACCCTGGTAGATTTGCATCCAGAAGCAGCAAAGCGTGGCCAAACACTGGGAGCCACACGCCTGCCACACAGAGTGCCCTTCTCTAATGGCAGCTGGGATCAAATCAGCGTTCCAAGGAAAGCTCTGCTTTCCACCACTGCCAAGCACAGTATTTTACAGAATAATTTCCAGCTTTATTCCCTCGAGTACAGGCATCTGCCACACCAGCTGCATCAGGGCAGCTCTGCCCAGCCTGCACTCACTGCTTCAGGGGCTCTGGTGCCCTCAGCCACACCTGCAGCACTGCAAGTGGCACTGAAGCCCTCGTCCTTCTGTCCTCATCACAGATGGGTTTTAAAACTTTTGACTTCTCTTACAAGCAGACTTGTACAGAGAAAACTCTACCCTGAGGTATGTAATCTGACAAAGCTTAGAGAACCATGCAAAGCACATTCTTCCACTTCTGCCAGCAGTCTAGAATGATTCCAGATTATTTTACCATTTGCCCAGAACACACAATAGCCATTAATTTATCTATTATAACTTCTACACGAATACTTGAGGTATTTTGTAAAACTAAAGCAGAAATGCCATTATCTGGTATCAGAGCCACTACAGTGAAGGCCTAGTCCTGCCTGCACATTTATAATGCAAAGTAATTCTATTTTTGTTCTAATAGTATATTCTAAGTCATCAATATTTCAGAGATCTTCTAGAAAGCCACAGGATCAAAAAAAGTGTCAACAGTTCATTGATTTTTCTTCAGAGAATTGTTTTAGATGTCTCTTTACTGTTTGCTGAAGGCTGACTTGAACTAGATCTGGTGCCTTTCTTTTTCTTTTTCTTGGTCAGCATCTGGATTTTGTTTACTAATTTTAACTTTTTGTTGTGCACCAAAAAACAGGGACCACAATGGACTTTTACAGTTGCCCTTTCAGGACCTGACCACAATTTTTAAGTGCATAATAAGAAACAGAGAAGTTAAAAGATTTACATGTTTAATACAACTACCAAAATGTGAAAAGGTTCCTTACCTGCTTTGAGAAGTGTTAATCATGGTTTTCCCATTTTAAAGTACTGGTATTGGGAAACTCCAGCACAGTCACTTCTGCCAGCTTAAACCCAGTGGGATTTCTGTAAACCTCTGCAGAAAGCAGAATTCTGGTGCCAGCTGGGCAGAACCTGAGCAGGTTTTTGAACAGAGGTTGTAGAAATCTGGGGGAAGGACTGGTAAAAATTGGTGTTCAACAAAACTTCATTGTCATCGCTGTCCTCGTAAGCGTACTATCAGCAAAGGAAAGTCAAACCAAGAACTGGATTTGACAGCATTTTGGGAATTAGTTTGTTCAACATATCAGTGCAGTAGTTTTAGTGAATGTCTCTAGCAAGTCTTGTACTTTTACAGAAACAAAGGTCCAGTAATTTGAAGTCTTACCACATCTTCACTTTTATTATGACTACTCTAGGTGTTTTTATAATTTTTACTGACACTCAGTAACTGTATAATTGTGTACAACATGTTGATGAAATCGTTAGAGAATACCATAGAAAGCACTGCAGCTCAAGCATATAAAGTTAATATTGTTTACAGCATACTGTAGACAGTGCCAAATAAATGTTTAAACAAATACTTAAGTACACTTCATGGTGTAACTAGTAACTGTACACAGATTCATAACAAATGACATCAATAATGTGTAATCAATATTCTTAAATAAAATATTTATAATTGAACTTCTCCAGGGCTTTTCATTTTACACCCAGTACATGCCTGGACTGAACCATTAGTGCATATTAAATACATTCTGATGAAGATAAACCTCAGAAAAATAATATATATCTGTATATATTATTTTTTGGAGGTTTATCTTCATCACTGTATTTTGCTGCCATGGTGTTTACACCAAGGAACATTTGGATTTCCTTTGATACTGCTGTGCTACACAGTGTCAGCCAAAATTTAAACTCCCAGAACTCCATTAGGAAAAGTTAAACACAAGAAATAGTAATTCAGGGTTACCCTGTGCACTTAAATAGCAATTTTACTTAACTGATCCTTTGGTGATCCACCAAGAAACAGAGGTTTCACTTCACATGAAGAAAAAATAAGGAAAGAACACTCCAGATTATTGGTGAGAGTTAGTTTATTTGCCAGTTACAAATTAAGCTAGAAGAGGTGTGTAAGAAGTTACCTTGCTTCTGACAATTCAAAAAATGTGTTTCATGTTATAGGTGATATGTTTGGTTCTTTCTTGGGTTTAAATTCCTCATTTCTACCGAGGTTTCAGAAAAGGAGAACTCATGCCAATACCATGGAATAAGACCACAATCCTTCATGGAGACAGGTGCTGCTTTTCCCATTCCAATGAAGAATGGCAATTTCTGTAAGAGGCTCTCGAAATTTTGTCCCTGCCTCTAACTTAACAGCTGAGCTGCCAGTGTCTCTTTTGCCCAGCTCCACTCCCATCCTGGAGGACCCTCCTGAGGCCAGGACAGCCCACACACCTTCCCAGTGCCCTCAATTGCATTGATACATGAGTATGTCCCTCTCTGACATTCAGCAGTACCCATCATATGGATGTACCAGACCAGCTTTAATTTCCAGAGGCTTCCCAGCCAACCTGAAATGACCTAAAAGAAACACTGAGTTTGAAGTGGGGACGCTCTGGCAGCTCCTGCATTTCATTTCGAGAGATTTTTCATGTTTCATCCCCAGTAATTTGGCACATTCTGAGGACAGTTCAGGCTTGGAATGCTGTGACATTACTGAATGCTACATGGAACAGACACTCCTCACACCATACACAAGATGCAGGACCTTTAATCCAGTGGGCTGTGCCTTACCACTGTGACTTTGTACACTGGGTGCACTTACAGCAGGCTTTGCACAGGAAATGGACAGGGATGTGTAGCTTGGTGAACTATTTAAACCTCGTGGAATAAGCACAATGCAAAGTCATTGGAAATGAGCTGCTCTGTCACACAAATTCTCCAAATATTTGAGCAAATTTCTGTCTGTCTACAATCTGGCCATACTTAATTGTAAAATACAAAGTATCTGTACTGTTATATCGCTTGAACTGCTGAAGGAGCTCATCCTTGCTATCTCCAACTTCATCCAAAGTCACCACTGTCTCTATGGGACAGTAAATGTCATTACGTCTTCCCCAAAAGGTCAAGTGGGCCACTCTGACAGTTTGTCCAGTTTCACTTAAGTAGATGAATCCAATAATTCTTCTGAAAAAGTAGCTCATACCATACAGCATTGCCCCAGCAAAGACAGCGATGCCAGTTGTGTAGAGGAGGATATTCTGGGACACCTGGCCCTGCAGGTAGAGGTAGCAGATGGGAGGCAGCATGATCACGGAGGTGGCAGTCTGCAGCAGCTTCAGTCTCGACAGGACCCTGCAGTATTTTATCCCTGGGAACCTGTACACCAGTTTGAACTCTTCTGTCCTCCCATCCACAGCCTTCTGCTGGACCACAGCAGCAGGGGCCAAGTGGGACAGACACACGGACGGCTCTCGCAGTCTCCTGAGATAACTCCTGACACCATGAGCTCGCTGGGCTTGTGACTGCAAACACTGCCACGAAGCAGCAATCCAGGGCAGGCGAGCAGCTTCCCTTCTCCATGGCCTTGTCCAGAGCTCCTTCTGTAGCGATCTCCCAGCAGGTGCTGCTGTGCAGGCTGTAGTCCTGACTGTGCAGAGCCAAGCCTGTAAGTAGATTCCCACGGGTCATCGTCTGAGTCCTATTTAAACCCAAGTGAGCTCAGAGTTGCCCCCTCGGGCCCCTACAGACAGTAAAGCACAACCCCCGGGTCACTGTAACCCTAAACCAGTGTTGTGATAAAAAACCGGTGATTGTGCTCGCATCCCTCCCTGCAGACCGAGAGGGAAAACTTTGCTAACACAGCTGATACCAGTGAGCTCAGTGACCGACCCTGGCACACCCCCTGCCTCCCGCTGGCTGAGCAACAAACCAGGAAAGCTGCTGGAATCGCCTACTCCTTAAATAACCACTTATACAGCAGTTTTAGGGAAACAGAAAAAAGTGGACAAAGCACGGTAAAGGAGAGGAGGCCGCGATCAGGCCGAAGGAGGGAGCGGACGCTGGGAAGGCGCAAAGGCAGGAACGGAGGTTCCGCGCTGTCCCCGCCATGCTGCAACACGCGCGGACACCCGTGCAGGGACCGCCGAGCGGCCGGAGTCAGGGATGGAAAAAGTGATGGAAAAAGGGAAAGATGGAGAAAGGGGAGCTGGGGAGAAAGGGGAGAAGGAGGGCAAGGGGGAACAGCCCACGCCAGCAGCCCCAGCCCTCACCGCCGCCATGGCCCCGCCGCCGCTCCGCGGCTGCGCTCTCCCCGCCCCGCGCGCGGCCCGACGGGAGGGGCGGCCCCGCGGTGCAGCCATGGCGGCGCCGCCCTCAGCGCTCTGCCTGTTCGACGTGGATGGCACCCTCACGGCGCCGCGCCAGGCGAGTGCGGGACGGGGCTGCGGGCCCGCGGGGAGCGGGGCGGATGGCACAGCGCGGGGCCCGGCTGTGCCGTGTGCCGCGGCCTCTCTGGGCGCACTTCATTCATTTAACGCTGCTGAAGGACCCGCACGGGCTGCTTGTTCCGGAATGGAGGCGCTGGCCTCTGGCAAATCTGACGGCTCTGTTTTGGACTGCAGAGAATCTCGGCGGAGATGGCGGCGTTCATGCAGCGGCTGCGGCAGAAGATGAAGGTGGGGGTGGTGGGCGGCTCGGACCTGGCCAAGATCCGCGAGCAGCTGGGCGAGGACGGTAAGGGCGATCCGCGCTGGGGCCATCCCGCTGGGGCCATCCCGCTGGGGCCATCCCGCTGGGGCCATCCCCTGAGGCGATCCCGCTGGGGCCATCCCCCTGAGGCCATCCCCCTGAGGCCATCCCCTGAGGCGATCCCGCTGGGGCCATCCCCCTGAGGCCATCCCCTGAGGCCATCCCGCTGGGGCCATCCGCGCTCCGGGCCCCGGGCAGCCGCCAAGGGCAGGTGGAGGTTGAACCCCGTCCATCCCCTTCTTCCCTTGCTTGTAATTGTCTTCCTGGTGGTGCTGCGTTGCACTCAGGCTGTGGGGAGCTGCTGCCCGGCGTTTGGAAATCGCAGCCTGTTTGCACTCTGCAGGTATCTCGATATTAAATTAAGAGGTTGCTGCTAATGGTGAAATCCTGCCTTGGTGGCAGAGCCCTGGCAAGGCTTTGTCACAGTGCTGTGTACAGTGCAGGCCTGTGTGTGACATACACGTGTGGGCTGCTCAGCTGCAGAGCACATCCCTGAGGACCTGGATTTGTTCACTGTGGGGTTCACTATGGATTCTTGCCTTAGTCCTTTATTCTTAATGGTCTTTACTTAACTGATGCCACTGACAGTCTCCTGTAGTGCCCAGACAGCTCAGAGTTTGTTTGCCTTCCAAGTGCTCTCCAGTAAACCATATCATCTTGTGTGGTGCTGAGACAGCTCCCAGACATCTGCTGAGCATTAGTGACACTGAGGAAACAAACCTAAAAGGGCAATATTTGACTTGCTCTCAAGCCAGGCCATGTGCCAGTTGTTTGGTTATTCCTTTGCATTTAATGCAAAGAGTTAAGTAAAACCACAGGTAAGTCAAACAACTGACTTCACATGATTTGAGGTGTGTGTTAATCATAGTGAGAAATGAGACAAGCTTTAATCTTGCTCTTGATGCTATGCTGCTGAAATTCTCATGCTTTAGGAGCTAATGTTTGCTGTATTTTAAGCTATTTAACGTTTAAGACAATTCTGCATAAAGCATTGAGGGGAAATGATGAGTTACTGTCTTTTTGCTTGTTTGCAGTGATTGAAAAATATGACTATGTGTTCTCAGAAAATGGCCTGGTAGCATACAAAGATGGGAAATTCCTGAGCAAGCAGGTAAGTGTGAAATTTCCAATAGTGAGAAAAAGAAATCTTCTAAACAATATTTTGATTTATTTGTACAGTGTAGTCCTTTGTAATCACCCTTTCAAAGACCAAAGTTGCTGCTGCTTTCATATGTTAGTCCTGTTAATGGATCATTCATTTGGCATGTAATGTTTAACATAAATAATGGAGAGTAAACATTTAAGAGATCCTGGCTGAATTTGCTGCCTTGACCAGTGGTTCCAGTTTACTGCAGGAACGAGCTCCATTTCTTCATGTTTGGCTATAGCAGACATTAAATGGAGCTTTTTGTTTGGGGCTGCTGCCTGTGGCACAGTTTCCTTCTGAAGCAGGTACAACTGGGAATCATATTAAAGGACAGTTTGGTGTTATAAAGTGAACAAAAAGAAAAAAGAGAGCCTTTAGCTAGTACCATGTGAGCATCAGCTGATGTTACTGATTGAAGGCATGTTTGTTTCTCTGTGCTATTAACCATGCCTGATTACCCAATGTCTGTGTTTTCCATGTGACTTGCTTTTAGAATCTCAAATTCTGGACCCTTGGTTGAATGGTCTTTGTTTTGTTAGAGCATTCAGGGCCACCTGGGCGAGGACATCCTTCAAGATGTCATCAACTACTGCCTGAGTTACATTGCAAAGATCAAACTGCCAAAGAAGAGGTATGTGCACACAGACATCTCACTGTGGTCCTGTTCTCCATGGGGGATGTAAAGCTCAGCTCAGGGTGCTCAGCAAAAAAATGAGTAATTTCTGCTTGGGGAGCAGCACTGTGTGTGTGAAACAGAGCTCAGTCCAGGCATACAAAGACAGGTCCCCAGCTGGAGCACAGGGATTGAAATACTGATCAGCACTTTGTGTCAGAGGGAAGGAGATTCAGGTTTGAAGTAGGAGAGTTCCCTTGCCATGTTTGGAATTCAGAGATGAGAAGTGCAGCCAGAGCAGCTCTGTGTGAGGTGTGAGGTGCAGCTGTGCAGACACTGAAAGGTGCCCTGTGAGGCAGGGCAGGACACTGCCCACACTGCTGGGAATTCTGCAGCTTCACCCCACACTGACAGCCTGGCCTGTCAGGCCCTGGGCTTGATGGGATGCTCCAGTCACACTTGTTAAACCAAAAGGTGCTTTCAAAAGCCTGTAAGGATGATGATGATGAGGTTGCCAGATTCCAAGTCCAAAAGACTTACTGGTGCCAGAGGTACCTGCATGTAGTGAGACAGGTGATTCCCACTGCCTGTAGAATTAAATGGAAATTTACTGTGATATTTAGTGCTTTGAGCAGTTTTCTCATCCATTTTCTGTCTTGTGATCAATTCCCTTGCAGAGGCACTTTCATTGAGTTCAGAAATGGGATGTTAAATGTGTCCCCCATTGGAAGAAGCTGCAGCCAGGAGGAACGACTTGAGTTCTATGAACTTGATAAAGTGAGTTACAACTCCTGAAAATTACCCAGCTCTCCTGCAGGAGGCAGTTATGGCCAGGTTATGATTTTTTAAAAACTTTCATCATTTGTGCAATAGTTTTTTGTTTTTTTTCATTTTAATCCTTTCCATGTGGTTTAACTAATCTGTTCATTCAGACCTAAAGCAATAGACAATGGGTTTTTTGTTGGAATAGCAAGGATTACTTGCAGAAGGGTGGGTTTGGCTCATGTTTTTAATCCAATATCCAGAGTACTGAACATCCTACTTCTATACATGGGGTTTCTAAAAAACCCTGTCCTAGGTAAAACCATACTTTATGTTGTCCTCTATAGTGTAACCAGCCTGGGTCCATTCAAATCAATAAAACCATTCTTTTTTAGAGGTGTTTTTGGGTTATCTTTTCATTGGTAAATCAACACAGTTACAGCATGTAACTGTTGTTTGGTTTTGTTTTCTTTTTTCCTTAACAGAAGGAGCATATAAGAGAGAAATTTGTAGCTGATCTACAAAGAGAATTTGCAGGCAAAGGCCTCACATTTTCAATAGGTAATACTTTAAAAGAATGTCATTTAAAACATCAATTAATTTAAATTTCATTTAAGTCATACTCTCTTATGGCTGTGACATCCCATCTCATTTGTGTGACAGGTCTCTCTGGGGGTGGTTGCAGGCAAGACTGAGCCTCTTTTTCCTCTCAGCCTTTTATTGGGATATTTTAATTGAAATCCATCAACAAAGAGAACTTCATTTCTTGTCATCAGTTCATTGTCCTTTAATGTCAGTTGTGTGACTGATTCTGCTCATTTTGGAGCATATTAGATGCTTCAGATTAGTCAGAGTTGTTTCTGTGAATCAGTTTTGATCAGAGCTACTCCCTCAGTGCTGTTCCAGTTGCCCTTGGTTCTTCAGCTGTACCTGCACTGTGTGGGAGAAAGGGAAGAATCCAAAAGCAAGTGCAAACTTAAGGAAAAAATATAATAAGGGGGAATTAATTTTTGATGCATTTTTCATTTTACCCTCTCTCCTAACATAGTCCCACACTCCTGCCTTTTATTGTTTTTCAGAACTGCAAAGTATGGTTGGCATTAGTGCAGAAGCACTAAGGCAAAAGGGAACTGCAGTTCAGTGTCTCCTTTATGTTGTAAATACCTTTTGGACACCTGCTTCAGCTGGGAATCATGCTCTTGGGTATTGGTGAAGGCCAAGGGCTCAGAATTGGAACAGCTGCTGAAAAGGCTGATTTCTTCCCTTTCCTACTCTGAAAGCCTTAGAAGGTCTTTTGCCTACGATTTTATGGCTGTACATACATCAGTGGCTGTGTTCATGTGTCCTTTCTTTCTGAAAGTAAAGAGATTAAATGTAATTCTTCTAAAAGGTTCATTTGGATAGCAGTGAGTATTTGGGAACGTGCTCAGACTTTGTTGAATGGATAAATAATCTCTGAATCACAGCTCTAATAACTGATATCCTATAAAACACTTTCTGTACTTGCAGGACTTAACTCCAGAGTCTCACAACATTTCTGTGTCTTTGCAAAGCTCCCTCTGCCTGAAATCTTACCCCGTTTGGGGTTTTTTCCCTTCTTTTCCCCTCATTGTTAAAATGTAACAAGTCTTGGTTCCTGTCTCTTCTAGGAGGGCAGATCAGCATTGATGTGTTCCCAGATGGCTGGGATAAAAGGTACTGCTTAGGAATTGTTGCCAAGGATGGATACAAGACTATTTATTTCTTCGGAGACAAGACCATGCCAGTGAGTACATTAGTTTGATACACTGATTTGAGAGCTGCTGGAATTAAACCTCAAGGAGTGCAGGTTCTAACCTTACAACCTTAATCCTGACAAGAGCTGAAGTCAGGGCATAAACTTGTGTCCATGTTTACCTGGCTGCAGATGAGAAGTTTTCCTTGTCTCCTGAATTGAACACAGGGTTCTTGCCTTAACAGAGGTTGTTTTAAAATTGAACTTTATAATTCTATTAAATGCCTAGGTGTCA